TTTTGGCTTGAACCCTCTGGAGCAGCAGCCTGAGCTGTACCTTGGCCCCAAGGAGCCATGGCTAGAGCTGGAGCAACTGAGATGCACGTAGTAGTGTCCTAAGGCTTCACAGGGCAGTGGGGCCCTATGACTGGGCCACAAAACCATTCTTCCCTCCTTGGCTTCTGGGCCTGTGATGGAAAGGGTTGCCACAAAGGTCTCTGAAATGCCCTGGAGGGTCTTTCCCCATTTTCTTGGCTATCAGCATTTGCCTACCTTTTAGTTAACCAAGTTTCTGCAGCTTGCTTGAACTTCTTTCCTGAAAATGAGCTTTTATTCTACCACATGGCCAGCCTGCAAAGTTTTCAAGCTTTTACAATCTGCTTCCCTTCTAAATATAAGTTTCAGTTTGATGTCATTTCTTTGCTCACACTCATCAAAATAGTTTGTTAGAAGTAGTGAGGCTACCTCCTGAATGCTTTGCTGCTTAGAAATTTTTTTCCACCAGATACCCTAAATCATCACTTTCAAGTTCAAAATTCCACAGATCCCTAGAGTAGGGGCACAATGCAGCCAACCTTTTTGCTAATACCTAACTAAAGCGACCTTTACTCCAGTTCCCAATAAGTTCCTGAACTCAAATTTGAGACCTCCTCAGCCTGGACTACATCATGCCTTTCTATCAGTAGCTTGGTCACAACAATGTAACAAGACTCATAAGTTCAAAACTTTCCTTCATCTTCCTGTTTTCTTCTGATCTCTCCAAACCCTTCCAACCTCTGCCCACTCTCCAGTTCCAAAGCCACTTTCACATTTTCCGGTATGTTTACAACAATATCTCATTCCTCTGTACCAATTTTCTCTATTAGTTCATTCTTACATTCCTCTAAAGAAATACGTGAGACTGGGCCATTTATAAAGAAAAGCAGTTTAATTGGCTCATGGTTCTGCAGGTTATACAAAAAACATGATGCATCTGCTGGGCTTCTGGAGGGGCCTCAGTAAACTTACAATCATGGCAGAAGGTGAAGAGGGAGCCAGCACTTCACATGACTGTGAGCAGGAAGAAGAGTGAGAGGTGGGGTGGTGCTATACACTTTTAACAACTAGACTCAAAATAACTCACTCATTCGCTATCACAAGAACAGCACCAAGGAGATGGTGCTAAACCATTGAAGAGAAACCGCCCAATGATCCAATCGCCTCCCAACAGGCCCCACCTCCAACAGTGGGACTTGCCATTTGACATGAAATTTGGGTGGGGACACAGACCCAAATGATATCAACGTGTTAAAAGGAAAAGGAGATAGCAGTGGGAAATGAATTTTTAACTTAAGTATATGATATTTTTATTTTAGAGTTCTAAAAAATACGTCTTATACTACCTATACAAGTGCTAGAATAGTTTCTGTATTAAGTGGTAGATATTACTATCCAAATATCATACTTATCTTCTTTGACATTGCAGTTTAAGAGGGCATTTTAAGAAAATAAACAAACACATTGATATATTTTTAAAAAGAGACATTTTTCAGTAAAGGATGTAAGTGTGTTACCATGACAGATATAGAAAAATTACAAATGGACAGACAATCCTAGATAGAAACCTAAAGAAACATTTAACTCAGACACAGAGATTGACACAAGTAAAATGGGTGAAATCTGGGAAAGAGTGCTTCCAGCAGAAGGAACAGAACATTGAAGGAACAGAGATTGATGTCAAGAGTTAAGGGAAACAAGCCAGAATAAGAATGTTTAGACAAAAGGCTGAAGGTAGAAGGAAATTGAGATAGAAAGTTATAGAGAGCACAGACTTACTTGAAAATTAGTAGACAAAAGAACAACTGTAAGTTCAATCATGAAGGAGTGCCAGAATTAAGAGAGAAAATAAGGAAATAATAAAGGGAATCTTTTGATGTGAGGAACCAATTGGGCTACCAACTCAGTCTGCCAGCCTGCCATTCCAATTACTGTAGGAAATAAATGTTCTGTAAGTTATTTGGAAATTAGAGGGCAAAGTAATTGCTTATTCTACAGGTAGAGAAACATTTTTGTAAATGATAATATAGCTGTTCTACCAATTTCTCTTAATTTTCAAAATGTTTGAAAGGGTACACTATATTTTCATGATTTGTTCATTCTGATTTCCAACTCATATTTGTTCATCATTTTCTCTTTACTTTTTAAAAAGTTGAAAGACATTCATATCACAACATTTTCACAGGTAATTTTTCTACTTGCAACTGTAGATTTATGTGGATAAATACAAATCCCTCTAGTGACACATCTGGAGATTGATGTTATGTGCTATTCCATAGGGAGCAAATATACCCCATGAAACATTGCAACTATGAATCTAACTAGACTGTATGGGCAACATCTATTGAAAAATAAATTAAAATTATAAATTATATGAGAAAACACAAACATTTGAATGAAAAAAATGAGAAAGATGTAGTGGTGCGTTCTTCCCATGTTAGAAAAAAAGATTCATAATGAACAACTTTTTTTTTTTTTTAATGTATTTCCTACAATTGAGTAAAATAATAGGGCTAGGCAACTTTACTGGTTTGCATTTTTTCATCTGGGTCTGGTTTTTCATTTCAATTGTCAGCCATTTTATTACTTTCACCATTCAAAGGAATGAATGATCTGCCATAGTATTTTCTGCAGTTCCATCTCTTGTTTTCAGTATCATTCCAATTCTGAATCTATCTAATTTTGATCTCTATTCTATTTATTTTCCTAATTCGTAACACTTTGCTTTGTGCTGAGCTCCTAATTATCTCTCTGTCATTCTCAAAATTTTAGCCCTATGGTCTAAAAGATGCCCAAAAGAATGTAGCATATTCTAGTACATAAGTGGGACAACATAAACAACTTGCTTAATTGTTAATCCATTTAAAAATGAAACAATGTTTTTCATTTTTCAATCAATTTAACCCTGACTAGATCCTGTAACTACATTCTGCTTTTTATAACTAAAGAACTGCAGAAAAATAAATGTAATAGCTTTGCTGGAAAAGATTAACTTTACAATGCCTTCCTAATGACCTTACTTTTTTTTTTGAAAAGTGTTTTTTCTTTTTTTTTTTTTTTTTTTTTTTTTCTTTTTTTTTTTTTCTTTTTTTTTTTTTTTAATTTATTTATTATTATTATACTTTAAGTTGTAGGGTACATGTGCATAACGTGCAGGTTTGTTACATATGTATACTTGTGCCATGTTGCTGTGCTGCACCCATCAACTCGTCATTTACATCAGGTATAACTCCCAATGCAATCCCTCCCCCCTCCCCCCTCCCCATGATAGGCCCCGGTGTGTGATGTTCCCCTTCCTGAGTCCGAGTGATCTCATTGTTCAGTTCCCACCTATGAGTGAGAACATGTGGTGTTTGGTTTTCTGTTCTTGTGATAGTTTGCTAAGAATGATGGATTCCAGCTGCATCCAAGTCCCTACAAAGGACTCAAACTCATCCTTTTTTATGGCTGCATAGTATTCCATGGTGTATATGTGCCACATTTTCTTAATCCAATCTGTCACTGATGGACATTTGGGTTGATTCCAAGTCTTTGCTATTGTGAATAGTGCTGCAATAAACATACGTGTGCATGTGTCTTTATAGCAGCATAATTTATAATCCTTTGGGTATATACCCAGTAATGGGATGGCTGGGTCATATGGTACATCTAGTTCTAGATCCTTGAGGAATCGCCATACTGTTTTCCATAATGGTTGAACTAGTTTACAATCCCACCAACAGTGTAAAAGTGTTCCTATTTCTCCACATCCTCTCCAGCACCTGTTGTTTCCTGACTTTTTAATGATCGCCATTCTAACTGGAGTGAGATGGTATCTCATTGTGGTTTTGATTTGCATTTCTCTGATGGCCAGTGATGATGAGCATTTTTTCATGTGCCTGTTGGCTGTATGAATGTCTTCTTTTGAGAAATGTCTGTTCATATCCTTTGCCCACTTTTTAATCTCATTAAATTAAAGAGCTTCTGCACAGCAAAAGAAACTACCATCAGAGTGAACAGGCAACCTACAGAATGGGAGAAAATTTTTGCAATCTACTCATCTGACAAAGGGCTAATATCCAGAACCTACAAAGAACTCAAACAAATTTACAAGAAAAGTGTTTTTTCTTATACAAAAATAATATTCTGAAATATCTCTCTGGTATTTGATTGCTGGATTTAACCTACATGCCTCTGAACATTGGTTTTTCAGACATACAAACTGCTTATTAACAAATTCCAATGCATTAATCAATACACCATTGCATAACTTCGAGTAAGAAAAGGAGGATGATATTTCAGCAATGCCCTAAAATATGCTTCTATTTAACACTTTCAGACAACCAATACACTATGTATATTATTGAGACAAAACAAACCTAGGATAGCAGAAAAATATTTATTTTAATGAAATATTTAAGTAGATAGCATTTTTTGCGTGTTTTTTGTTTTTTGTTTTTTTGTTTTTTGTTTTGTTTTGTTTTGAGACGGAGTCTCGCTCTGTCGCCCAGATTGTAGTTCAGTGACCCAATCTTGGCTCACTGTAACCTTCCCTTCCTGGGTTCAAGCAGTTCTCCCTGCCTCAGCCTCTTGAGTAGCTGGGATTACAGGCAAGCACCACCATGCCTGTTTAATTTTTGTATTTTTAGTAAAGTCGTATGTCATTATGTTAGCCAGGCTGGTCTTGAACTCCTGACCTCAGGTGATCAGCCCACCTAGGCCTCCCAAAGTGTAAGTAGATAGTTTTAAAGATTATAGGTTTCAATAGGTTTTATTAATTTGTTTTAGTTGACATACAAGAGCACTACAAAACCACATTATTTTATTTTATTTTTTATCAATAAACTTTATTATGTTAAAGGCCATATTGCCCACTTAATATGACTTTGATGTGCACAATTTCTATAATTTACAACTTACTGTATATGGTCTAATATAAATTACATTTAGCTATCTTGAATAAAAGATACTAATCCCGAAAAATTTAATATATAAAATAATTTCTACAATCAATTAAGCTACCCAGCTCTTTTACTAGTGGGGGCCTGGTGTGCAATGGCTGCAAACAGCAGCATCCTAGGTAGTGTACAGCAGCCTGTTCCTTGTGTGCAATAGCCTTTGCCATTGAACATTTATGTCTCAAATCTAGTGCTTTCCCCAATCTAGGTTTAAGACTGGATGTATTATGCCTTTGGAAAGCCCCAGGACACAGAGGCCAGAGTTCACATTGGCCATGTTCATCCATACCGAGCTGCCAAACCTGGAGCATACAATTGAGTCCTTATTTAGGGCCAAGTTCAAGTTCAATGAATGCCCACAGAACCACATCTCAAGGAAGTGCGATTTTACTAAGTTTAATGCATATACATTTTAAGACTTGGTGGCTGAGAAACAACTCATCCTGGATGGCTATGGGGCCAAATATATCCCTGGAATCATGGGCCCCTGTACAAGCAGCTAGCCCTGCATTTGAAAAGAGCTGACCCTCTTTACTCATGCCCACCAATGAATTCTATTTCCTGTACATCAAATATATATATATATATATATATATATATAAAATAATTCAACAATATGCAGTAGATTTTTTTAAAAAATTAAATGTAACTTTATCTTGATGTCTAACTACTGTGGATATATTTTGTCAGTTATTAACGTTCCCCTTTCAGGTTAATATCAAGTCAACAAAAATTTGGAGATCTCTTGACCCTTTCCCCAATGTGTAAATTAGTAATATAATGTCAATATTCAGACAGGCAAATAAACTAAGCTCCCTTTGATGAAAACGGCATGCAGTAAGACTTCCCTACTGAGAATCATCTTAGTTTGTGAAATAATAATCTGGAATGGCTATATCTGCAAAATATATTAAAAGAAAGAACATGTCAAAAACATTATCTGCAATTCCTTTATGTATATCTAATCATTTTATATTTCTTTTTTATTATACTACTTGAAATACATATATAAAGGATAAAGAGTTTCAACAAACCTCCAAAAGTAAATCTAATTATCTATAATATTCTGACTTTCATTTTGTTTGCTTACCAAATTGAAATGAAAAGAAAAAAATACAGCACTCTGTAAAAAACTAAAATGATTTCAAAAAAATTATTGTTTCCCTTTGAAAATATAAATATTTAAATAATGGTGAAATAGAGAATATAAACATTCACAAATATTAGATATACATTCAACATTTTCAGGTATTATTTTGTTTTGTTCAGACTTCCCCTTCTGTCATTTTTCTCTCCTTTCTTTATCTTTAGCATAACTGAACAGCTTTCCAAACATCTATAGTTATACCAGACATAGCATTTTCCAACATGAAACATGGTTTTTCTTAAACATCATTTCCAAATATTAATTCCCAGGGAAAATGATGTTTTCTGTATGCTAGAAATATTGGAACCAATATAACAAAACTCATTAACATTTATAACATTTGAAAATAATTTCACAATAGTTTTATTTTAAAAAATTGTATTGTAAATTTACATAAGAAATTATCTCTCTGTTATATGACTTGTATAACATCCACAGTATTCTAAGAAAATATTTTTTAAATATACGATAAGATGTCTAAATAATACAATTTTTAAGAGTGCTTAGAACCACTGTTAAAAATCTTAGACTAAGGGATGAATACTTTTTTTCTATAGAGATTATATATCAGCATGCCAGCATTGGCTTTCGTTACAGAATAAGCATTTTAATCTTCTTTAACTCTCATCAATCCACTGCAGAAAGCAGCTTGAAATAAAAAAGACCATCACTTACAGAAAACAGTTAATAATTCCACGGTTTACTTGGCAGTTTCCTGGGCATAAATTTATAAAATACATTTATGGATTGAAATAAGCTGTTTTACTAAATAATATTACAGAATTTAGAATAGATGCTGATTAAACAGCAAATCAACAGAAGTTTTTATTTACCAGTTTAGTGGCTACTATGCTAATTAGATCTTCTGTCTAAAATGTGTCCATATGGACAATTTTTCTGTAAATGTTTCCTTTATTTCCACATTGTGTGACAGCATTTTCATAGATCCAGCTAGAAATTAACTTAAAAAATAGTTATTTAAAGATGACAACAGAAGGTTTTGAATTTTGAGTTCCAAAAGGCAAACAGATATTTCTGAAATAAAATATGTTATATATTTTTAATTTCTAATTGAATTTACATGTAAAATATTTATAAAATTCATATGAATTTGAGATATGTTCACATTGATTGGACAGTTTTTGTACCTCATTTTGCTTGGTCACACTGAAGTGAGGTTCATCATCTTGTGGCACCAAAAGAAAACTAGTGTGATTATAAGGAAATTATTATAGTTAGACAACTGTGCATTAATTTCATCATTAAGGACCAAACATGTATACAAATATAAATACTTTTCTTAGTACATTACTTGCAACATATGTACAATTATGTAACAATTATGGTGAACTAAGTCTCCTATAAATTTCCAAAATACTTTTTTTGCCTTTTTTAATCTCTAAATCCATATGACTCAAGGGAAAATATTCTTGCACGTATGTATATTTAAACATGAACCTAGCCAAAAGTAAGATAAATTAAAAAAAACATAACGTATCAAAAATGCTTAAATTGATGTGTTCAGGGAAAAATCTATCCCATTAAGAGCTTGCATTAGAACAGAAAAATTACCTTGAAATTATGATGAAAGCTTCCAACTTATTATTATAGAAATGAGAACAAATTAATTCTGAAGCAATCAGAAAGAAGAAAATAATAAAGGTTGATGAAGAAATAAACAACATTAAACAGAGAAAAAGCATATAGTTAAGTAAATTAAACTAAACTTAGACCTTTGAAGGGATCAATAAAATTGTTAAATCTCTGGCCAGACTAAGGAGAAAATAATAGAAAATAAATAATTTACAAATTTTAAGAATGATAGAAGTGACCACGGGTGGTGGCTCATGCCTGTAATCCCAGCATTTTGGGAGGCCGAGGCAGGCGGATCACTTGAGGTCAGGAGTTCCAGACCAGCCTGGCCAACATAGTGAAACCCTGTCTCTACTAAAAATACAAAAATTAGCTGAGCATGGTGGTGCATGCCTGCATTCCCACCTACTCGGGAGGCTGAGGCACAAGAATTCCCACCTACTGGGAGGCGGAGTTTGCAGTGAGTGAAGATCAGGCCACTGCACTCAGGCCTAGGTGACAGAACGAGACTCTGTCTCAAAACAAACAAAAAAAGAATGATAGAAATAACACTTCCATTGTCCTACAAAAGTTTAAGCATATCTAAATGAATACCATGATGAAATTTATAAATATAAATTAATTGATTTATATTAAATGTACCAATCCCTCAAAAGATACAAACTACTAAGGCAAACTCAAAATGAAAGCAATAGCATGAACACCCCTATGCATATGTTTGAAATTTATTAATACCCACCTAGATAAATTAACTGACAAATTTTACTAAGATTTAAGGAAAGAAAATTTGTACTTTACACAAAACTTGAAGAAATAAAAAAGAGGAAACACTTTTCAATATTTTATGAGTCTACCATTATCCCCATACCAAACCATAAAAAAAAACATTACAAGAAAGTGTCCTGTAGACAAATATGCCTTTAGATGATTAATTTAGATTTCAAAAACTTCAGCAAAATATTATTCAATTAAATCCTTTCATGTCTGTGTGTGTGTGTGTGTGTGTGTGTGTGTGTGTGTGTGCATGCACGTGTGTTGGTAAAATATATCATTATTAATTCGCGTTTATCTTGGGAGTTCAAGATAGTTTCCATATTCAATCAACCCATTGATGTGTACTATGGTCACTTGAAAAGACCAGCAAATCCTCTACACAAAAGGCCACTATAAATTGATTAAAACAGACTTTCATGACTCTGGAAATTGACCAAAGTATTCAACTACCTAAGAAATCTTTATGCTTGGGAAGTTATTGAAATGCGTTTAATAATATCAGGAAACCTGTTTTTACCTTGTGTCCTAATCTTGTTAAATCTCTCTTAATTTTATGAGACACTGCTTCTCCTTCCACTGTTCTTTTACTTTCTCCTTCTCCTTTGTTTTTTCCTCCCCCTTCCTTTCCCTTTTCTACATTCCTTCTCTCTCCTAAATGCTGTAAAAATTTCTACATATATAATAATATTATTCACTAGTAGGAACAGTTTTACTTATTTATTTCCAATCTGCGTTTATTTTATTCTCCCTTTTTTCCCTTATACACTGGATAGAATTGTAAGTATTATGTTGAAAATGAGTGATAAAAACAAACACCCTTGCTTTATTCCTGAACATAGATGTGGAAAACAGTCAGTGTTTCACAGCTAAATATGATGGATTTTTCTATGCTCTTTATCAAGATGAAGGAATTTTTTGCTATTTCTGGTTTGCTGCATTTTTATCACAAGTAATTGTTTAATAGTGTCTTTTTCCCCTGCATTTATTGAAATGATCATGTGTTTTCCCATTTTAGAATATTAATATGATGAATTATATTATTAGATTTTTAAAAATGTTGAACCTGTCTAGCATTTCTGGAATAAACACAGCTTGGTCATGTTTATCACTTTTCTACATAGTGTCATATTCAAGTTGTTGAGGATTTTGCATCTATGGTATATTTGTAGATTTTCATCTAGGGTATGTTGGTCTAAAGTTTTCTTTGTTTAATTTTTTTTCCTTTTTTTTTTTTAATCATCTATGTCTTATTCTTTTTAAGTCCCATGCTTGCTTCATAAAATGAATTGAGAAGTATTCCTTCCTCTTCTGTTTCTCAAAAATTGTAGAGAACTGGTGTTTTTGTTATTGTCTGTTTGTTGTTTTGTTTTTTCTTATTTTTGTCCTCATACTGACAACCAAACAGTTTGGAGTATAAAACATGGTTCCTGATTCCGGTTAAATCTAGTCTGCAATGACAACAACCATGTTGGGTTAAGGATTGGCCTATAAAACAGAAAAAAACCTTCAGGGAGATAAGTGCTCGTATAGGCATTGTGAAGCTGAATTCATTTTTAATCATTAAGGGCTTTTAAGGAAGAAGATTTATTAACTAAAATAGATTAGAGGAAATTCTTATCTATGAGAGAGGAAGGGATGAGATTCAACCTGGAAAAATGATGA